CCAGAACAAAATACTCCCTCGCCCACTGTGTGTCTGATGTCCTGGGACCAGCAGGGCTATAGCAACAGTAGGGACAGTAAACGTGCCACACGTTGCCCAAGCAGGACCTGCGAGTTGCAGCCTGTACCCTATTTAACCAAGACTGCCAATTGTGATTCCAGTAGCCCTTCCTTGCTACTGACACTGCTGTAGTACTCAGCCCAGTGTCTAATACTCCCTCGCCCACTGTGTGTCTGATGTCCTGGGACCAGCAGGGCTATAGCAACAGTAGGGACAGTAAACGTGCCACACGTTGCCCAAGCAGGACCTGCGAGTTGCAGCCTGTACCCTATTTAACCAAGACTGCCAATTGTGATTCCAGTAGCCCTTCCTTGCTACTGACACTGCTGTAGTACTCAGCCCAGTGTCTGTCACACCCGCCTTCCCTAAATGGTACCTTAACTTTTATTCCTCACAAGCCTTGGGCAGCATGTTCCTCTTTTACAGATAAGGGAATGAGGTTCAGAGGTGAAATGACTTTACCAAAGCCCCACAGTTAATTTGAGGCAGAGTTGGAGCATGAAACTAGGAATTCATCACGATGGTCTTTGCACAGTCTCTTGACACACTGTCTGTTTAGTTAAAAAAAATTACCTTCTTTTCCCACCAAAATGAAGACAGGCCAGTGTAATTTCCCCCTGTCCCCTCTCAATATATTCTCCATTTAGATCATATGGAATAGAGCCATAGACTACACCTTCAGCAGTGGTAATGGCATGCACACACAAAAATCACAGTACAATTTTACATTGGCACAGATTAATAAACTGGTTAGACCACAGGCCCCTCTGCCTGACACTTATGCTATATTCTAAACCTCTCACTACCAAGCTAGTGTGTCTCTCATGTATTGACACTTTGAAAAACCAAGCAATTTCCCCCCCAGGCCAACCCCAAAACCACACCATTAAAGTGTTAATGTCAACATTTAGTTGATAGTAACTGAACTGCTAGCTTCTCCAACATGGACCTACAATTAAAAAATTCATGCCTCTTCTCAACTATAGCTCTGTGCCTCTCACTTGCCAATGAAACATTCACTCAGGTTAATGGAATGTCACAACCTAATAAACACTGGGCCAAAACACCCACTATTTGGGCATGCAATACACAAGTTAAAGATTTACTTTACTCATTCCTCTCTCTAGTTTATCCAGTATGAGCTTCCCTTTTATTTTTTGATTCCCCATTATGCTGCACTGCCTGGTTAGGAATGGTAAGATACCAAGAAGTCCCATTCATCTTGACCTTATATCAGTTTTGTTTCCCAGTCTCCCATCCTTTCCAGTAATCTCAATGTTGTACTTCAGCTCTAACCAAGAGAATAGACAAGCACTTTAAAAAAAACCGTTGTAATATTGCTGGGGAAGGTGCTATTTCTTCCAGCATGTTTTCTTACAGAACCCATCACAATATGACTCAGATCCTGAGTGGGGCTTGTTGATACAACCACAGTACAAAGGAAGTATAGTTACTAATATTTCTGGTAGGCCTAGTTTAGTGCAAAGTGGCCAGGCCTATCCAATACCCTTAGATATTTTTCAACTTATATTCTCTTAAATCTGCTGACCTGACTGCAGAATTGGGGCAAACTGTTGCCAGCAGTTTCATTGACTATTGGTTGGCCCTTACAATCATGTACAGTAAGGTTAAAAAACAAAGACTTTGTAACCATTTCTTGGGAAATCAGTTACACAGTATGGGCCCAAGCTGCAAAGTTTCCTCAGTGCTCATGGGTGTTAATGGGAGCGTCAGAGGGTGTGACTCAGTGCTGCGGCACCTCCTGCTGGCCACTTGAGACTTAGCTCATTTCAGCCCCATAACACCCCTTTTCACTGTCTTGCCCACTGTTACCTGTTATTGGCGCATCCTACCCTTTAAGTACTGCCCTGCTGCAACACCCCCACACTCTGGGGTCCTCCCCTTCAGAGAGCCCCCAACCCCATATGCCTACCCTGCCTCAGTGACCCACTACCAGTCACCATCTAACCCCTTTCCTCAGGGGCAAACTGCAGTCTGAAATGGCCACTCATTGGCAAGGGGGTGTGGACTTGCTGCCGTGGCTGCTTCCCTGTAGCCCTAGTAGTCTCAGGCTCTGCTCCCCAGCCCTGCCCTGTGTCAGGAAGCCTCTAGCTTTCCTGGTAGCCAGGTCCCTCCAACTCCACAGCTGGAGCAAGAGTGAGTGTTTCAGTCTCTCCAGGAGCTCTTAATTATACAGCCCCAGCTGGGCCTTAATGGGCTGTATCTATCTCAGCTGTGGGCTACACCATGGATGAGTTTTAATTCTTATGTGACCAGTGTGAGGCAGCTGCCCTGTCACAAGCAGAGACCACCTCACAGAATGAGCTGTTTCTGAGCATGAACACAATGATTCCATACCGTGTTACAAACACACACACACACAAAACAAAATCTTCTAGTTTATCCTCAATGTGTGCCTGCAATGTGCCATTCCTTCCCTCCATTGTAGTATCTTTTTATTTAAGAGATAGCTAGGTGAAGGATACCAAACTGGAAGACCCAGAGAACATTAAATATTAATCGTCATTGATATCACTACACCCATAAAGGCGATGGTCATGGGGCACCATAATTGACAAGCAATCTACCAATTGTCTCCACCCGTGAGAGACACTTGTGCACCAGTGCTGGTGCCCCTGTGAAGTCCATTCCTGTCTACTCTCTTTTATGTTGTCAGTCATCTCTTCCGTCTACCTCTTCTTCTCTTCCTCTGTACTGGCCCTTGGAGGATGATCTTAGATAGGCCAGGTGATCTAATTGCACGGCTATGCCACTTCAAGTTATGCTTCTTCACAGTTGGCAGGAGGTCTTCATAGGACTGAGCACATGTTGCAGATCTCTTCACTGGTGATGTGGTCGATATAGGTAATGCTGAGGATTTTATGGAAACAGCTTGTCTCTGCCTGTATTTTCTGTACAAGTTCTGTTGTGAGAATCCATGTCTCGCATGCAAAAAAATTGAGATGACAAGTCGTGCAGCAGTTTCAGTTTGGATTCCAGGGAGATGTTCCTGTTCCTCCAAATTAGCTTTAGCGTTGCCCTTGCTGCTGCTGTTTGCAGAGTTCTTGCCAGAATTTCTGCCTTTGATTCTTCATCAGTGATGACTACCACCCAAACACATGGCCTATGTCTACAATGGTGGCTTCTTGCACAAGAATATCTTGTGCAAGAATTCTTGTGAAAGAAAACTTCTACACTGCCACGTGCGAGCTGTGCTTTTGCGCAAGAGCTCCTATGGCAGTGTGGACGCTCTCTTGTGCAAGAAAGCTCTTGTGGCCATTTTAGCCATAGGGCTTCCTTACATAAGAAACCCCTGCCGAGCGTCCACACTGTCCTCTTGCACAAGAGCTCCTGTGCAAGAGGGCTTACATCTGATAAAAAAGAGCGTAACTCTTGCGCAAGGAGCCCTCTCTTACCAGGCCGTACTGTAAATTTCCTTGCGCAAGAGCGGGTGGGCAGTGTGGACATTCTGCAGATTTTTGCGCAAGTACGGCCGTTGTTGTGCAAGAAGCCAGGAGTGTAGACATAGCCATGAATTGTGGCACTATCTCCAGCTCCTGCCCACAGACAGGCTGTGTCTAGACTGGCCAGTTTTTCCGGAAAATCAGCTGCTTTTCCAGAAAAACTTGCCATCTGCCTACACTGGCCGCTTGAATTTCCGCAAAAGCACTGACGATCTCATGTAAGATTGAAACAAAATACATCCTGTATTTTGTTTCAGCTACACCAGACTAACACGGCTACATCTCTATCACTCTCATGTAAGATTGTCAGTGTTCTTGCAGAAATACTATGCTGCTCCCGTTCGGGCAAAAATCCTTTTGCGCAAAACTTTTGCCCAAAGGGCCAGTGTAGACAGCTCAGATTTGTTTTCCGCAAAAAAGCCCCAATCGCAAAAATGTCGATCAGGGCTTTTTTGCAGAAAAGCGCGTCTAGATTGGCACGGACGCTTTTCCGCAAAAAGTGCTTTTGCGGAAAAGCGTCCGTGCCAATCTAGACACTCTGTTCTGAAAATGCTTTTAACGGAAAACTTTTCTGTTAAAAGCATTTCCAGAAAATCATGCCAGTCTAGACACAAC